GCAGTTCAAAAACATGCAAATATGAGTACAGTGTTCCCTCACTTATTGCAGGGGTTATGTTCCAGGACCTCCCGCAATAAGTGAAAAACCGCAATGTAGGGACACTGTATTTATTTTAATATTTATACATAATTTTAGTAGTTATACACTATTTTAAGTCTTTATAAACTTAAAATAAAGTGAAGGAAAGGCCCTTCAAGTTTGGAGGGAGGGAGGACTGAGGAGGGAAAGAATTTTGGAGAGCGGCGGCAGCAAAAACCCGCAAAACAGTGAAAAAACCGCGATGTATATTTTAAATTAATATTTTTTGGAAACTGCGAAAGAGTGAGTCCGCTACGAGTGAACTACGAAGTAGCGAGGGAAGACTGTAGATCAATAGGTCCTGCTCAGGCGAGAAGGTAATAGCGCTCCATGTAGTCATGACTTGGAGGTGTCTATGGGCAACGCTAGCTCTTCACCTTAGAAATGGAGATGAGCACCACACCCTTGAGTCAAACTCAACTAGACTGAATGTTACCTTAGTGGAATACCAGGGTTCAGATCCCCATGGGGTGACCTTGGCTGAGGCACACTCTCTCAGCCCTAGGAAGCCCCATAATGGGGTCATCTTAAATCAGAAACAGCTTGCGTTCAATCAACACAACGGCAGTCTCTTTGGGAAGAAGCCCACTGAACTCATGGAGGACACTTCCAAGTACACACTGTGTTTTAGCGGAGTCCTACTTAAGGAATGATAACGGATGGGGAGCCTCCACTTCCCTTCGTGGTTGCCCTTTCGGTGTCCCCGTCCTCCGCACTTCAAAGCAAAAATCCAATGCGGCCTATCATCCATGATGCCAAGAGTCAAGCTCCAGCCTTTCAACATGGAATTTTAAAAAGAGGAGAGGAGAAGAATCCGTCCTTTGGAGCATCCTTTCGGAAGATCAAAGCAGCTTCAAATGGGGGGCCTTTTTCCCAGGGTCCTCCCGTCCCAGGCTTCTCTTATCACTCATGAGCCACTTCGCCATGACGTTCTGTATACAAGGACGGAGCCACCCTCTTTGAAGTCTTGGCTTAGACCGGGCCAGATCCTGACTCCAGAATAACAAACAGTACCAGTTCACCCAGCGGGTTCATTTTTCAACCCCAAATCCTCTTTTCCCCCTCCAAACACAAGCAACCTTGAACTCACGGCCTTGAAGACAGGCCGGGAAGATTTATCGGGGGGTTAGGAGGCTTGGGTTTGTGTTTGCCTTCATATTTGGGGCACAGTTTTGACATAGCCAGACCAACTCTTCTCATCTGGAAAGGGAGTTAACCCATCCTGTGGCAGACCAAGATTTAAACAAAGATTAGAATCTGTTCTAAAGCCTGTTGGTTTTTGCACCCAGTCTTAAGGCTCTCCCCCTTCCCACCCAAATCCAAACCATAACAGAGCTAAAATTAGATGCCAATTTATTCAAAGGTAAATCTTGAAAAGGGCCCTATAAACTTCCTAGAAGTGGGATCCTGGTTAACGATGCTGCTCGGTTTCATAACCCAGTTTTTATGGCTCCCATAAAAGACAGAAGCTGTCGAGTGGTTGTCTCTTAAAGGGAGAACTCTTCAAGGACGGAGAAGGAGAGGAGCCAGTCACTGGGGACACCATCCAAAGCCCACCAACGGCGATGGGGGCAGAAAGGGAGTTGGACTGAGTGGCCCACAAGGACTCTTCCAACTCTATGATTTAATGAAAGGACGGGGAACACCAGCCCTGCCCGTGGTTTACATAGTTCTGGGTTGCCTTACCAATTAAGACAACTGCCAGTGTCTTGATTTTTATCCCTACCTTTTCCTCAAAATTGTGCCCAAGGTGGGACATCCGATCCTTCTCCCACTTTATTTATTTATTTATTTATTTTCTATATTTTTACCCCGTAATTCTCACCCCCAAGCAGGGACTCAGGGCGGCCTCACAAAAGCATCATAGGATGCCGACATCATTAAAACAATCAACAATCAGCAATACATTAAAATATTTAAAATGGTAATTAAACAATTGATTAAAAACACAACAAGATGAATCATAGAATCATAGAATCAAAGAGTTGGAAGAGACCTCATGGGCCATCCAGTCCAACCCCCTGCCAAGAAGCAGGAATGTTGCATTCAAATCACCCCCGACAGATGGCCATCCAGCCTCTGTTTAAAAGCTTCCAAAGAAGGAGTCCACAGCAAGGACAATCACTCTGCTGGCTGTTGTATTGAATCACACCGGACACTTCCCAAGTGTCTAGGACTGTGTGATGTATCGGCGAATAATGCGTGCAGATCTCAGTAAGGTGGCCTTCTGCAGCTGGCAGATGGTAATTTGGTCAACGCCAATTGTGTTTAAGTGCACGCCAAGGTCTTTAAGACACTGCACCCAGTGTGTCAATCACCACTGAGACCACTGTTACTGGCTTGTGCAAGAGTCTTTGCAGTTCGATCTTTAAATCAGCTTTTTGTGGTTCTGATCTAGATTAGCAGTTCATCAGTTAGCTTCTGTGGCATTGAAAATTTCTGCTGCTTCTGTAGTTGTTTTGCTTCCACTTGCCCTACAGGCCCATGCCCTGATTGTTCAGCAGTGGGTCCTGGTTCCTGTAGCCCACTTGTCGAGGGGTGCCCAGGAGAAGCACTCGCAGTCTTTATTATCCTGGGCGACGACTGAGCCAGTATAGACTTCTTTAGAGTTTGTTTCACATTATTATTATTATTATTATTATTATTATTATTATTTGAAACACAACAAGGTGAGTCCACAGCGACGTGTGAATTGGATCACACATCGGACACTTCCCAAGTGTCTAGGATTATTATTATTATTATTATTATTATTATTATTATTATTATTATTATTATGTCATCCTAAACCCGTGCCTATATTCTGTGACGGACTGGATGAGGGCTAATAAGTTGAGGATAAATTCAGACAAAACAGAGGTACTACTGGTCAGTCGTAAGGCTGACCAGGGTGTGGGATTACAGCCTGTGTTGGAGGGGGTGACACTCCCCCTGAAGACACAGGTTTGCAATCTGAGGGTGATCCTGGAGTCATCACTGACCCTGGAACCCCAAGTGTTGGTGGTGGCCAGGAGCGCCTTTGCACAACTAAAACTTATGCGTCAGCTGCACCCGTACCTTGGGAAGCCACCTCTAACCATGGTAGTCCAAGCCTTAGTCATATCCCGTCTGGACTACTGCAATGCTCTCTATGTGGGGCTGCCTTTGAAGATAGTTCGGAAGCTTCAACTGGTACAGAATTCAGCAGCTAGGTTACTAACTGGAATGCCATACAGGGAGTGAACAACTCCACTGGCTGCTGGTCTGCTTCCAGGCGAAATACAAAGAGCTAGTTGTTACCTATAAAGCCCTAAACTGGTTGTTCTCAACCTGTGGGTCCCCAGGTGTTTTGGCCTACAACTCTCAGAAATCCCAACCAGTTTACAAGCTCTTAGGATTTCTGGGAGATGAAGGAAAAAACATCTGGGGACCCACAGGTTGAGAACCACTGCCCTAAACATTTTGGGCCCAGACTATTTGAAAAACCATATCTCCGTGCTCGATTGCTTAGGTCTGTGGAGGAGGCCCTACTCTCGCTCCCACCCCCATCCCAAGTACGGCTGGTGGGAACGAGAGAGAGGGCCTTCTCCATGATATCCAAAACATCTGGAGGAACCAGAGTTTCAGAACCATTGCTCTTCGTCACTGCAAGAATACATTTATAACAATACATTTCTTAAAGGAAAACCCATCCCTCTGTTCTGTTTTCTTCTACACAGTGAGAGAAGAATGAAGGAAGCTTCAGATTATTTTGTTGGCCCTCGTATTGGAGACATCCTGAGATGGAGACCCTGCCAGCCCGGGTCCCACATCAGCATTGGCTGCACTTTGTCACAATCTTCATACATGAGACCAAAGATCCATCTACACAAGCATCCTCTTTCAAGTCTTGGTTAGTCAGATGTCTCCAGGAAGTTCAGAAGTGCATTGCAATTACTAAATGTAATGCGTATTTTCCAAATAATTACAAGAAAAAGACATCCAGGGTGCCAAAATACAGTCATCATAAAATGCTGGAATGGAGAAAACACACAGATTTATGCAGTGCAACCTTCCAAGCTTTGCATGGCTCTGTACGCCATATTTTATCTGTAGAGGAGTCAGATCATTTTATGCAAAAGTTCAGGCGACTTAGTAATAACATCAACTGGGTGGTGAGTTTCCCTTTCCCTCCATCGTTTGATGATCCGGTTAATATAAAACCCTATCTTGGCTCTCCCCCTCCTCTAACAAAACAGCCAAACATTGGAGAGATAGCCAGTGCATTCTAAATATGCTTCCACTTTATAAATCACAAGCTCTTGGCAACAACCGTTGTGCCCACTGCAGCCGCAAAGCAGAGTTTGCTCTCCTTTTGAGACATCTCCCCCGGATCAAGCCTAAGGAGAAGCTGGAGGAAGGAGAAGGAGCCATAAATCCTTGGTAATTTATAGGCTTCACTCCTTCGTTGTTATGTTTGAGAGGGAGACCAGAGGAAGGGTGTCCAAAAGGGATCGCTGTTTGGCCTCCAGCTGGGAGGAAGACGTGTGTTTTATGCTAACTGGAGCCCTCCCTTGTATATCACACCCTCACCGTCTTTAAAGCCAGCCCAAAACACTCTTCAAGCACAGAGCAATCGTTCGCCAAACCCGAAAGTGGAAGGAGAGGAATGGCCATCTCAGAGGACCAGTGGGGACAGTTTCCGCTTCATGTCTGCGCATGACTTGATGTGGTGTAGAGAAGTTTCCTTCTATATTCCCAATTGATATATTTTGCTATAGACCTTAAGGTATGATCTGAGGACAAATTTGGCAGCCACCCTATGGAAGCCATAGACAGCTCTTTTGTACAACACCATGAAATCCACAATGGAAGGGAAGCTATATATTCATGTTATATGATTTAAAAAAAACACACACATTCACAACTTTGTGTAAACACAGCCGAACTTCGAAACTTACCTCCCAGCTTTAGTTATGATCATTTCTGTGCCAGCTTCGTGAAATTTCTTCCATAGCTCTTTCTCATGAAGGTAGACTTTGATGTTCTCAATGGTCTTCAAGAAAGGAAATTAAAAATATATAAAGTTAGGCAGTCCCACAGATGGAGAGGAAGGAATTGAAATAAAACTCATACCTACAGGGGTGAGAGGCAGGGTCGGGCCAAAATTCAGTAACATTATTGGGGAGCAAATATTTTATTTTATTTATCTATGGATTTATCTACCATTCTATTTACAAGGATTATCCAAAAAAGCAAGGTTACAAGGCATGTAGCTGTCACAGGGAATTGTCACATGCTGTCTTCACATTACGTCCTCTCCTTAAACTGAAACTATATTGTGATGAATCACAGTGACGTTCATGCCCTTATTTATTTATTTAAATTTATTTAACACTTTTTTATCCCGATCTTCTCACCACCATTGAGGGACCCAGACTGGCTTAGCATTTAGGTAGCGTTTTACAGTGCAAACTTCGCACTTGGAGGGAAAGGGAATGAGGACGCTCATCTCTAACCTTCACCACAACGCCAGTCGATGCCATGTAGCTGTCATGGGGTATCCACTGCCCTGTAGTGGGAAGCCAGTGAAAACAAACGAGTAGTGCCAGTCATCAGTAGCTCATCAACTGGTGTTGTGAAGGTTAGAGATGAGCATCCTCATTCCGTTTTCCTCCAAGTGTGAAGTTCATGCTGTACAAGGGGTATCCAGAAAGTAAGGTTGCAAGACACGTAGTTCTCGCAGGGCATTTTCTCGAGGGAAGTTGGCATCACTGCTCTGTAGTGGGAAGCCAGTGAAAACAAACGAGTAGTGCCAGTCGTCAGTAGCTCATCAACTGGTGATGTGGTGAAGGTTAGAGATAAGCATCCTCATTCCATTTCCCTCCAAGTGTGAAGTTCATGCTGTATGAGGGGTATCCGGAAAGTAAGGTTATAAGGCACATAGCTCTCATGGGGAATTTTCTCAGGGGAAGTTGGTATCACTGCCGTGTAGTGGGAAGCCAGTGGAAGTGAACGAGCAGTGCCAGTCGTCAGTAGCTCATCAACTGGTGTTGTGGTGAAGGTTAGAGATGAGCGTCCTCATTCCATTTCTGTATGCTGTAATACGTTATTTAAATGCTAAGGGCATGAATGCCGCTGCGATTCATCACAAAATTGTTTCAGTGAATGGAGAGGATGCAATATCAAGACAGCATGTGACAAAATGGGTACAGAATATATTGTGAGACCATGAAGAAACTTTGCAGAGCCATCCAAAACATAGATACTAATGGCGGGAGTCTGTCTCCTTCATGACAATGCGCATCTGTCCCCACACGGCTCATGCAACACAAGAGTTGTTGACTTGGTTGGGATGTTTCAAGCCACCCCTCTCCCAGTCCCAACCCTGCACCCAGTGACTATCATCTGTTCACTAAATTGAAGGAACACCTGGGTGGAAAACACTTTTCCGAAGACAATGAGGTGAAAATCGAAAAGGCAAACTGGCTGAAAAAGGCGGAGGGAAACTTCTATGACACAGGCATCAAAAACCCATCCCACAGATGACAAAATGTATTGAACTGAATGGTGCTGATGTGGAAAAATAATATAATACTGATGCTACAATCCATGCAAGTTTTATTAAAATACATTCATTCTTTTTTTAAAAAATATTGTAACCTTACTTATCCCTTGTATATCCACTTTTCTCCAAGCATGGAATCCAAAGAGGCTTATTATAATTGAAAATACAGGTTGAGTATCGCATAATTTTGGGCCGCAATGGCCCAGCGGGTTAAACTGCTAAGCTGCAGAAACTGCTGACCGGAAGGTTGGAGGTTTGAATCTGCAGCACGGGGTGAATGTTTCCATCGGCTACCTTGATTAGCACTGAATGGCCTTGCAGCTTCAAAGCCTGGCTGCTTCCTGGGACCTTGATTAGCACTGAATGGCCTTGCAGCTTCAAAACCTGGCTGCTTCCTGGGTCTGTAGATTGTTTGCAAGTTGTGTTTCACTCAAAAAACAGGGGAATTCCAGCTAACACTTCCTAACAAAAGATTCCCCCAGGCAGCTATCAGCCAGGATTTGAAGCTGCAAGGCCATTCAATGCTAATCAAGGTAGCAAATGGCAACATTCACACTTGCCTCCAACAGACAAGAGTTCTTTCTCCCACGCTGAACATCATTCCACAGATATATAAACCACAGTTGCCTAGTTTCCAACAGACCTCACAACCTCGGATGCCTGCTATAGATGTGGGCAAAACGTCAGGAGAGAATGTTTCTGGAACATGGCCATACAGTCTGAAAAACTCACAGCAACCCAGTGATTCAGACAGCCTGGAAAACTCACAACAACCCAGTGATTCTGGCCATGAAACCTTTGACAACACAGTAAACACTAGACCCCTTTTGCAGGTCGAAATGCTGAAGAGCAGGGAGTCAGGGCTCACCTAAAGAAGTCCCGGGGTTCACAACCGGATACAGTGAAGACATTGGCCCTTGAGCTTTGCTACTCTGCTGCTGAGTATGCATGCCCAGTGTGGAACACATCTCACCATGTTGAAGCTGTGGATGTGGCTCTTAATGAGACAAGCCACATTATTACAGGATGTCTACACCACTGGAGAAATTATAATGCACCGCCAGACATCTGGTAGGAAGTAGCAGCCGGCAATGAAAGGACCAAGGCAGCGACATCATAATAATAATAATAATAATAATAATAATAATAATAATAATAATAATAATAATAATGTATTTGTATCCTGCCACCATCTCCTTGAAGGGGCTCGGGGAGGGTTACAAAGCATTCCAGGGTGCACATATAATGTACAACTGGTAAAAATAGTACAAAAGTATAAAATAAGTCATATAAAATTATAGCAACAACAATTACAACAACAAGACACCTCCGGCCCATCCCGTTTGGATATCCGCCAGCACGCCAATGCCTTAAATTAAGAAATCTACAGAGATACTCGCAGGAACACCTCAGCAAGTGAGAGTCCAAATTGTGGGAGTTAAAGTCCAAAAGCCCTGGAGGGCCGAAGTTGGCCCATGCCTGCTCCAGAGTCATAGTCCCATACTCAGACCATGCTGGATTTTGACAATAATTCAAACTGTAGAGGGAAATTATCCCAACCATTGAATCCCCTTGCTCAAGGAATCAAAGAAGGACCACAAAGTAGAGTTTTATGTCCCAAAATTATGTAAATCACAATATGATTTTTAGTAAAACTGGGAGGGGAAAAAAAGAGTTATAGATCCTGCCATTTTTACACAATGATTAAATATAATTATGCACTTTGGTGCTAAAAATGGAGGAAGGGTTGTAAATTACTTTGCCGGCCTGCCCTGCCTCCTGATTGGCTCCCTCGGTGGAGCGAGGGCGTTTTTATAAAGTGCTGACAACCTCCCCGTATCAGAATTATAACCGGTCGTATAAAAAGGAAGCTGAGATGTGAAATGGTGGGGAGCCACCTTCGTGGCTGAAGCTATGCTTTCAAAAAAAATAGTTCTATTATAAAATGCAATTGTGCCTCGGGGCTCGAAGCTCATTTTCTGCCTCTGTTTGTTCAGATGATTGACTGTTAATTGGAGTTGGGGGCTGGGGAGCAAAGCCAAATTGCTACCAGAAAAGAGGGCAAAACCATTGTGGAATACATTTCATATTCGAGGGGAAAACAAGCCGCAAGCGTCTGAGTAGCAAAACGTATGGATGGACAGTCCATTTAATCAACCAATTAGATTGGCGATCAATCCAGTGGCCAGTGATTTAGGGATTTGTGACTTCTTCAGGTTGTTTATTTATTGTATCAGGAGTGAACCAACCATTTTTAAAAACACGATGTTTTAAGAACTTGGCATTTATATTAAATGTCCTTTGAGCAATAGCTGGCCACTTGGAGTGCCTCTGATGTTGCCATAAGGAGGTCCTCCATTGTGCATGTTCTGTCACGCGCTGGGCCTGTAACAGCTGTCTTTTCTATAGGACGCATACTTTAAGCCCAGCGGGAAGCCAGGGCGCCTCAAAGAGAGGTTCTCAGGGATTTTTCTGAAGTGATGGTCTTTAGAGTCTTTAATAATACAACAAAGTCTTTATTATGGAACAAACAACAAATCTTCAGTGGTTCAAACAACACTTCAAGGCTTTCTTAGTCTAGTCCTCAAGGAACTGTTACCTGACTTTGATTAACTGTACTTTCTCTGTAGGAAAAAAAAAACACTACTTAACCTCTCACAGGCTGTTTTCTATCTATGCCTCATCAATGTGGGTCCTACTACCAATTCCAAATGCGTCTGGGTATCGAGTAGACCTACCAGCCGAGGCTTGTAGATATTTCAGCTGGAGTTCCGTGAATCTGTAATGCTGTCCTCCCTCAGAGAATTCTTTGAAAACTTCGAGGCTGTTTTCCCTCTGATTGCTGTGAGGCTGTGAGCTCTCAGCCAGAGCCTTGGGACCTTTTCCCTGGGATTTCTGCTTCTGTTTCCCCGGATGTTCTTGAGAAAAGAAGCTTTTCTACGGGATGAACTGGTCTACGTCCTATAGTTTAGCTTTCTTATGTGAGACTGCCCAAAAAATGGCTCCTTTCCCTCCCAGACCCTGAACAAGGGACGGAACCAAAGCTTAATTGTGATGGACAGGAGGCCTGCCCTATGACTGCAAACAGATAACAGAAAGAAAATAAAGTTGGAGCTCCTGGTACAGCCGTACCAGCACAGTGCATGTGGCAGGGCTCAGGCTGGATTGGAATAGATGGCCTGTGTTTACTCTTCTCTACACTCCACTTTGTGGCCCCATTTCTTAAGGTTGGCTCTGTATCTCGTGGTGCCAGAGCGCAGTCTGTTCAGCGCCTCCCAAGTCGCCCAGTCTTCTGTGTGCCCAGGGGGGAGTCTCTCATCTGGTATTAGCCATGGCTTGAGGTTCTGTGGGAGTTGAAGTCCAAAACACCTGGGGGGCTGAAGTTAGCCTATGCCTGTCTAGGATCACATCCCATTCAGCCATTCGGTGAGTCATACTCTCTCAGCCTCAGAGGACGGCAAAGGCAAATGTGCTCTGAGCAAATCTTGCTAAGCAAACCCAGTTATAGATTATCATTGGAGTCACCATAACTTGGAAATAACTTTATTTTTAATTGTGTCAGAAGCGACCTGAGAAACAGCAAGTGGCTTCTGGTGTAAGAGAATTTGCTGTCTGCAAGTACGTTGCCCAGGGGATGCCCAGATGTGTTACCATCCTGTGGGAGGCTTCTCTTATGTTAACAACCTGGCAGCCAGGTTGTTAACAGGAGCGGCGCTCAGGGAGCATACAACCCCTTTGTTGCACCAGTTTGTTGCGCCACCACTTTGTTGCGCCACCACTGGCTGCCAGTTTGCTACCGGGCCCAATTCAAAGTGCTGGCGAAACATCAGGAGAGAATGCTTCTGGAACATGGCCATACAGCCCAAAAAACTTACAGTCACCCGGAGTATCTTGCATTTGTCCCTGTCAGACTTCATTGTGTTTGTTTTGGCCAATCATCTCTCCAATCGGTTAAGGTCATTTTGAATTTTGCTCCTGTCTTCTGGAGTATTGGCTCTCCCTCCCAATTTGGTCCCATCTGCAAACTTGATTATCCTGCCTTCTAACCTTTCATCTCAGTCATTAATGAAGATCCTGAACAGGACCAGGCCCAGGTCGGAACCCTGCTGATGGCACTCCACTCCTCACTTCTTTCCAGGGTGAAGAGGAAGCATTGGGGAGAATCACCCTCTGGGTTCGTTCACTTAACCAGTTACAGACCCAGATAACCGTAGTTTTGCCTAGCCCACACTGGACTAGTTTCCTTGCCCGAAGGTCATGGAGGACCTTGTCGAAGGAAGGCCTTCCTGGAATCCAGATATGCTCCATCAACAGCGGTCCCTGCATTTACCAAGCTTGTAACTCTAAGCTAAGGAATGAACAGTTTTTCAAAGTGAACAAGTTTCTGTATCTCTAGGTTAAAGGTAAAGGTTTTCACCTGACATTAGGTCCAGTCATGTCCAACTCTGAGGGTTGGTACCCATTTCCATTTTTAAGCTGAAGAACCAGAGTTGTCCATAGACACTTCCAAGGTCATACGGCCGGCATGACTGCATGGCGCGCTGTTACCTTCCTGCCGGAGCAGTACCTATTGATCTACTTACATTTGCATGTTTTCAAACTGCTAGGTTGACAGAAGCTGGGGCTAACAGCAGGAGCTCACCCCACTCGAACCTGCGACCTTTTGGTAAGCAAGTTCAGCAGTGCAGAGGTTTAACCCACTGTGCTATCGGGGGATCTACAAAGCTTTAAATTTGAGGCAGGGGAAAAAAGGTGATTGGAGGGGAGGGAATTCTCATTTTGCTTCCCAGTAGTATATCCACACTCCAGTGCCTCCCCGCTCATATCCCAACCAAGGCAATCTTGTTTCAACCTTGTTCAAACAGACACCAACCTGCTCCGGATCGGGAACCTGTGGACTGTTCAGGGGGGTGCTGCTGACTCCCGCTACGCCAAGGACCGGGGAACCCGTGGTCGTTTCAACGTGGACTGGAGGCTGAGGTGCTGTGAACCCATCTTCCGGCTCAGACAAGCTTTTCTCCTGGAGCATTGCCTACAAGGCAAAATCAAAGAACCCTTTGAGTTTTTTTCCTCCCAAATCCACCCACTGTCTTCCAAGCTTCACACATTTTTCAACACATAACCTTTTGGGAAATGGAAATCTCCATAACCTTTTGGGAAATGGCATTCATTACCATTTGGGAAAACCAGGTATCTTTTGGAAAGGCATGACCTTGTTAGAGATCATAATCCTTTTCTAAAGTTTGATCTTCCCGAGAAGAGTTTAAAACCCGCTTGAGTCAACCTTCTCCTTAGAGGTAAATATCCACTAGTATTCATGCAAGGTTTCAGCTGTTAGACTGATATACCGAGATATCTCTTTGAACTGTTAGGAATAAAGATATGCCAATGCACAAAAACAGCAAAGTTTCAGAAGTGTTATTTTAGTTGCTCAAAAAACCTCTACTCTCCCTTAAAACATCTAGGTTTAAATCATGCTCTTAAGAGACCAAAAATAAAGTAGTCTTTGTTAAAATAACATAGTTAGTTTTCTCACAAATTTCATGAATTCAGCATACAGGTACATTTCTTATCAATTTAGTAACAGATAGGATTTGAAGTAGTTTCTCTGTGCAGATAACACAGGGCATCTGTCTTAGAATCAACAATCTAAAGTCCAAAACATCTCTTTAGTCTGAGAGTCTAAATGGAGTCTCTAAACCACTCTGTTTCTACTAACTTCTCAAATGGAATCTGACCCCTAATAGTCCCAGATCTGGTCACATGGTCTGCAGTTCCTCCCACAACATAGAGTTAAGGAAAACTTCACACCAATACACACATATACAATACAGTAAGGAATCTGAATTATATATGTAACAAATAAGTAGTAGAGGAGGCTTGAAGAAGGTTGCTATTTCCAACACTAGTGAAGAAGGCTCCAGACATGATCAGATGGGCAGCATAGATCTTATCATCAAATATTTTGAAGACTTGTGAGATCAACAGAAGAGAGTATCCAAAATGAGGGCCTGTGAAGTTTTAAAAGATGGTCATGTGGGGTCAATGCCTCCCCACTTCCTTTATAACTTACTTAGACAACTCCCCTCTCAAAATGAAACTTCAAAAGTGATCATGTCAAACTGAGTACAGTAATACTCAAACTATGTCTCTGTCAAGTGATCATGTTGGGAATACAATGAGGACTCAACCTTCCTTTCCTTCCTTCCTTCCTTCCTTCCTTCCTTCCTTCCTTCCTTCCTTCCTTCCTTCCTTCCTTCTTCTTCCTTTCCCTTCTTTCCTCCCTCCTTCTTCCTTCCTTCTTCTTTCCTCCTTTCTCCTTCCTCCCTTTTTCTCCCTTCTTTCCTTCCTCTCTTCTTTCTTTACTTCCTCCTTCCCTTCCTTCTCTCCTTCCTTCTCTCCTTGGCGGGGTATAAATAAAGTTTATTATTATTATTTATTCCTTCCTTCCTTCTTTCTTTCCTTCAATCCATCCATCATTAATTCCTTCTTTCCTCCCTCCCTCCTTCCTTCCCTTCCTTCCTTCCTTCTTCCTCCCTTTCTTTCCTTCCTCTCTTTCTTCCGTCCTCCTTCCTTCTTCTCTTCCTTCCTCAATTCCTCCCTTCTTTCCTTCCTCTCTTCTTTCTTTCCTTTCTCTCTTCCTTCAGTCCTCCTTTCCTTCCTCCCTCCCTTCCCTTCTTCCTCCCTTCTTTCTTTCCTTCCTCTCTTCCTTCCATCCTCCTTCCTTCTTCCCTTCCTTCCTCAATTCCTCCCTCCCTTCTTTCCTTCCTCTCTTCTTTCTTTCCTTCCTCTCTTCCTTCTGTCCTCCTTCCCTTCCTTCCTTCCTTCCTTCCTTCCTTCCTTCCTTCCTTCCTTCCATCATTCTTTCCTTCCTTCCTTCCTTCCTTCCTTCCTTCCTTCCTTCCTTCCTTCCTTCCTTCCTTCCTTCCTTCCTTCCTTCCCCCTCTCCCACCTTTTCTCTTGCTCCACTTTTCCTTTCTTTTCTCCAGACCGGGCACCCTGGGAAACATCGCTTTCCCAGTACCATCTCGAGGAATGAAAGAGTCAATGTTTCTCAGATCAAAATCTGAGCCAGTAAATATTTAGGGTCATGAAGCCTCGTCCTCTGTTTGAGGCAAACATTACAAGCCACCAAAATACACATTTCTGATCCAGGGATTACAAAGCCTTAATAAAAAGCTTTATAATGGCCTGGACTTTTTGTTTTTATGGGCGAGGGCCAAGTGCAACCAGCAGCCTCGATGCAAAGTGGTCTCTGCGCTGTGTAAATGGTTCTGTCACAATAAATCACGGTTAAGTTTGGGAGGACTCTTTAGTCATGTCAAGCACAAGGCTTAGACAGTTGGACTCACTGTTCTGACCAAATTATACACACTCGGTCTGTCTACATATTCTGTATACATTGTCGTTATTATTCCTGTATACATTGTCGTTATTATTCGGAGTTCTTCCAAGACAAAGCAGAATAATGGGTCTGAGTACCTTTGAGGATTTCGAGCGAATGCGACCTCTTCTAAACCCAATGCCAGCTTGTTGTAACCTAATATCAACATTTTCTTAGCTGTCAGGACAGAGTCATCGAATCCTAGCGTTGGAAGGGCCACCCAATCCAAACCGATAAGTAATCTGAGCACTGAACAACATAATGCGTTTTCTTCCCTCGGCCATGAAATCCACAGTCTGACATTGAGCAAGTCACACTCTCTCGGCACCAAAAAATGCAATGATATGCAGGTGGGTCAAAAAGTAATGCCTCCATCTTTCGCTTTCTTTCTTTCCCAACTACTGGACTATCTAGGCATGATGTGATCGAGGAGGCAAAACTTTTTGACCTACCCGCGCATGTTCGCCTCACAGCACTTCTTCAAGGGTTCATCTGTGCTCTACAGTTGTAGCAAGAATCCCCAAGGTTTTATTTCTTCATTGAAACCAGGACAAATACAAATGGTTCGCAAAAGATAAGACTTTTCATCTGCAGCTGGGTCCATCTCCCTCACTCCTGTCCGCTCTTATCTCCAACATCATCTGCTGATTCCATTCCCACGCTCGTCTTGCCAGCTTCAAAACACATTTCCCTATCGAAGGCTGTTTTCTTCTGCCATTGCAGGAAGAGACACTCAGTCTACACCAGGGAAATATTTTGGACCAAGCCAGTTAAAGTGAGCCAAGATGATATATGGGGAAACCACTGCCAAAGTCCTATTCTGAAGGGTCAAGAATAGGGGTGAGCTCCCATTGTTAGCCCAGCAACTGTCAACCTAGCAGTTCAAAAACATAACTGTCAACCTAGCAGTCCGAACATATCTCCTTCTATGTCCCACCTCGGAGCTTAAGATCGTCTGGGGAGGCCCTGCTCTCGACCCGCCTTTGTCTCAAACATGCTTGGCGGGGACAAGGGACAGGGCCTTCTCGGTGGTGGCCCCCCACCTGTGGAATTTGCTCCCCGGGGAAATTAGGTCATTGTAATCCCTCCTCACCTTTAGAAAGAAGGTCAAAATGTGGCTGTGGAACCAGGCCTTTGGGCAATCAGGTTAAAGGACAATGGATAATGTTTGACTATGGCATGGAAGAGGATTTGGATAAGTTAAGCGGAGTAATCATTACTAGATGGCTAGCTAAACAGCCACCAAACAGGCAATAGCTAATCAGAGTGTAAGTATACTGTTTTAATCTTTATTTATTAATGGTCATGTTTAATTGTTATATTTGTTATTCTGTATTTTATGATGAGGCATTGAATTATTGCCAATTGTAAGCCACCCTGAGTCCCCCCAGGGGTTGAGAAGGGTGGGGTTAAAATGTTCGAAATAATAATAATAATAATTAATAAATAAATGAGAGTAGATCAATAGGTACCACTTCGGAAGGAAAGGCATAAGACACTCCAAGCAGTCATGCCGGTCACACAGCCAGGAGGTGACAACACAGGCTTCTTGTCATGAAAATGGAGAGCAATGCCTCCTCAGGACCAGAGATAAGCACTGCTTCCAAAGCCGGAAATGAAAGGAGAAGCCTTTGCCTTTGTTTGTGTTTATGTGTCTCATTGTATTGTAATAAGGCATTAGATGTAATCACTCTGAGTACCCATGAGTAGAAGGGTGGAATATAGTGTTGTTGTTGTTGTTGTTGTTGTTGTTGTTTGAAACACAATAAAATAAATAAATAAATAAACTGCTGACCTGCAGGTTAGCAGTTCGAATCTGCGAGACAGGGTCAGTTCCCGCCTGTCAGCTGAAGTTCTTACCAACCTAGCAGTCCAAAACATACAAATCTGAATTGATCAATAGGTACTACTTTGGTGGGAAAAGGCAAAAAGACGCTCCAAGCAATCTTGCCGGTCACGCAACCAGGAGGTGACAATGCAAGCTCCTTGGCTTGAAAATGGAGAAAAAGCACTTCCCCAGTGCCAGAGATGAGCACCGTCTTCAGAAGCCAGAAATGAAAGGAGAAGCCTCTGCCTTTGTTTGTGTTTGTGTGTCTCATTGTATGTGACTGTAAAGGCACGGAATGGTTGCCTATGTATGGAAATACTGTAATCTGCTCTGAGTCCCCTAGGGGGGAAGGGCAGAATATAAAGTGTAATTATTATTATTATTATTATTATTATTATTATTATTATTATTATTATGGAATCTTGCAGACAAGCACAGACCATGGCTTCCTGGCATGCCATGTAGAAATCCCACAACTTTTAATTATTTTGGCTACAAGTGGTATATAAACTGCAATAAAAGCAACCAAACAGTGGCCTAGCCTCATTCAGTCAGTCCAGGGAAGAGTTGTTGCTCAATGAACGGTCAGATTTGCATTAGGGGCACTTGGGACATATTGAGAGAAGGTAGGGCTCACTAGAAAATACAATAATGCCTGTGGAAAGCCCTAGGAAAAAGGAAGGCCACATTACAGGTGGATAGTTTCAATCAAGGACGATTGCAAGACCTAAGCAGAGCTTAGGAGAGAGTTGGAAGTCTGCTCTTTGTGGGATTGCCACATATCAAAGCATTTAAAAATACAATCAAGAATGAAAGATGT